TGATCGGGGCCTGGACGGATGCGAAGTGCCTGGATCATCCTGCTCTTCTTCAACATCGAAGCCTTGGGAGCCGGCCAACTTGCTGGCCTATCCCGCGATCCAGAACTCTCTGCCACTGCTGCCGCCTGCGGAATGAGGTCATCTTCAATGATATTGGAACGCGCCTGCAGCCACGCATCGGCAACATGGTGTCCTCCATGTGCCACTGCGCTGTCGTATGACGCGAAGGCATAGGCGAAGTCTGTGTTGTCGTGCAATCCCCATTGAGATCGCCACTGCTCCACCCTCGTCGAGGCCACCCGTTCCATCGCAGTCTCGGCACCAAGCGGAGCATCACCTGCGGCTTGAACTGCGTAGGCACCTGGGTGATATGCCATGGCAACCCCCGACACCACCGCTGCCAACGTTTGGAGCGTTCGTGCTGGGCCTGAAACTGCAGAATTCACCTCAGTATCACCAGGTACGAAACATGCATCACTAGGCCGCAGCTGCTGCAGATGGGTCTCTATGCAAGTTGGGGTGACAGCCTGGACACTGGGAGGGTGGACAGGTACTGCACACTGAAGAGAAACAGTGCTCACAAAGTTCTGGGGTCGGAATGCCACAGGCCCGACATGGCGGCAAGGGTTCCTCCCCAGCCTCCATGGCACCGAGCCATCCCCAGAGCGACCGCACTGCTCTGGCCCGTGGTGCCCTCCACGCAACCAGGTCAGCTGGGATAGGCACCATTGATGGGTCCCTCCATCCTCGGCGCGGGGACTGCCACTTCCTCCAGACATCCCACAGCTCGGCAAGGTCGACCATACTCTCGGCATTGTGCTCGATGAAGGCCACCAAACCGAAGATGTTGTCCGGCGCAAAGTCCCTAGCTGTCCAATGGGTCCGCAGCGGCTCAATGAGCAGCTAGTCCAGCTTCGCCTCGCCCAGGCGATCATAGTAGGACTGCCACGCCAGCCGCGGGTCACTCCCGGGCAGAGCCAAGACAGCTGAGCTGTTCCAAGTACCAATCCATGGGAACTTGAATCCTCCCAAAAATTCGGTACACCTCCTACAGTTCTCCTCCATGCAGGGTGACCGTCTGAAAGGGGGAAGTCCCTCCACCCCCAAACCAATGGGATGAGGGGGGAAATGGTCGATCTGACAAACTGAGGACCATAACCTGGTGGCTTGAGACACCAGGCCCCGCTGAAGCAGGCCTTCCACGTGGGTCTTGAACTCGTAGTAGGCCGCCGCGTGAAGGATCTCAGCGTCGGTGTGGGCAGCCTCATTCCAACCCGGCCGAACGACAACTGCGGCCCTGGGCATCAGGGGGGTATCTCCCACCTCCGTAACCTCTATACCCTAGGGTAACTCCCTAGTAGAGGAACGAATAACCACTTACTCTAGGGTGACTCCCTAGTAGTGGTGTGGGGACCCCAACAAAAGAAGAATGATGAAGCCAGTTTGGCTCAGACTTGAGCCAAAATGGATTCATCAACTTACACACTCACCCTAATGATAATGCACACCCAGTGCCTGCCAAACACGATGCATACATATATATATATATTGTTGCTATAATTGTCATTATTATTACTATTATTATTGTTATTATTAATTGTTATTACTTTTATATATACATATTGTATTATAAAATAGCTATATATAAGTGAAAATAATGTATACTAAACAATAAAGCAGCATAATATGCACACATATCACAAATAAACAATGTTAGACAATCACAAACAAAAATAGGACATACTGGGCCTTGACCCCAGAAAATGTGTGAGGAGGCCTCGCAAGGTCGCTCTTTCAGCACCTGGTACCCTTGTGATCATCCTTCGAGAACCAAAACCTCTGGTTGGGATGTCAATAAATACCTACAATGTGAGGTTTTGAGCTATTTCTTATTATTTCCTACTATCAGTGCTGCAGGATTTGTGGGTTAATTGTGGGAGTGTAAAACATGTTTTGCTGTGGTGTTCGCAACTTTGCGAAGCCTTCGGCAACATTGCCAGCATGTTGACTATCAAACAAATCTCCCCACTCGTCTTTATGATCTCTCTGCTATTAGATGCTATTCAGATGCCCAAAAAAAAACATCCAAAAAGCCCGGCCAGACTTTGAACATTCCAAGTCTCAATCCTTGGTACAATGCGAAATGCCCCAGGTGATTCACCGCAAAGTGCAGTTCATGTCCCTGTGGCGTCTTTTGGAACGGTGCCCCATCGATCCCCGCGTTGAAGATCAAGGCATCCAAGTTCGAGGTGGTCAGACTTCGCACGCAAGTGGCCACCGAACGCAGGTCCGAGAGTTCGCAGGGGGCCGCGGAAGTGTCCAACTTGGCATCTGGGAAAAGGTCCGTAATGTCCTGGTTTTGTTCCGGTTTTGTTTCAGGGATTTTGTTGCCAAGTTTGAGGGACTTGAATTAGCCAACACAGGGATTTAACTATTCAAAATCATGGATCTCAGTAAATGAATCATGGAAATGGGTTTTTCAAACAAATATACGGTCTACGCCGAAACTGCAATTTCATGAGACAAAATCATGAATTATGAACCTTTTTTTTTTTGAAGGATGATTTTTAGCATGTGACGTTTGGAGGTCTGGATGATGGTTGGGATGCACGAAACGACCAATAACAAGTGGGGTGCCCCCAGAAAAAGTGTGATTTCATCTGCCACTAAAATGGCGTCCTCCCAACGAAACAACCCAATCAATATTGATCCAGGGTTTTTCCAAGAATGATTCTGGGCAAATGAAATTCACATGTTTTTGCCTGCGGACCGAAAACCGTTCCCGCAAAACGCACGTTTTTGAATATCGCGATTGTGGGGTGGGGTGGGGGGGCATGTTAACGTTCCTTGTACTTCGTACATGATATATTGCCATGCTGCTGAGATCTTTGGGATCGTTTACTACGTGATGGGGTGGGGTGGGGTGGGGCGGGGTGGGGGGGTGGGGTGGGGGGGCATGTTAACGTTCCTTGTACTTCGTGCATGATATATTGCCATGCTGCTGAGATCTTTGGGATCGTTTACTACGTTACATGTGCTGATGGGGTGGGGTGGGGTGGGGTGGGTGGGGGTCATGTTAACGTTCCTTGTACTTCGTACATGATATATTGCCATGCTGCTGAGATCTCTGGGATCGTTTACTACGTTACATGTGCTGATGGGGTGGGGTGGGTGGGTGGGGTGGGGTGGGGTGGGGTGGGGTTGGGGGTCATGTTAACGTTCCTTGTACTTCGTACATGATATATTGCCATGCTGCTGAGATCTCTGGGATCGTTTACTACGTTACATGTTCTATGTGGAATCTGATGAAAAAGTCAATTCCCAGCAACTTGAGTGCCAAAAGTGACCTCTTGATGGTGTATGCTAGAGCTTGGCAATGGAGATGCATTCACAAGAATGCTGACTGCCAGCTGATAACGGTGCATGCGTGGCAGCGATGACGCTGAAAAGCCAAAAAACGCGCCCCAAGTTTTTCCAGGATTTCCAATCATCAAATCAGCACGGCACTGTGGTAAAATCACATGTTTTTTAAAAAGCGTGCGTTTTATGGGCACAGTTTCCGGTCCGGCGGGATGTTTTTGTTAACGTCGTATCGTATTTGATATATACAAATGATTCGTTCCCTCATCACAATATCGTCAATTTTCTGTGATGAGACTCACATAGCATTTCACATTTTAGAAAAAGTACTGTATCCTCAAGTCTGGAAAGATTCCCATATTCCCATATCATATGCGCTCCGTGGTTATCCCCCAAATGCTCGTCATTTTGTATCATCCCTAAATATGGCCGAACATTTAAGGAAATGAATCCATCAACTATAGACTATAGAGTTACTCTACATCATCATCATCATCATCATCAGCAGAAGCAGCAGCAACAGCAGCAGCAGCAGCAGCCCCTTCATAATTAACAATTCATTCAATTCATTCTTAATATTAGCAATATGATAATTATATATATATAAGAATCTATATATAGGAAATTATAGGAAATTATAGGATATATATATATAATATATATATACAGAGTAATCATGCCCACTCATCTCCAATCTCCAATCTCGTGGCCTCCAGGGTTTCGCGCAGCTTCTGTGGCGATCGGCACAGGGGCAGCACCTCCCAGCCCTTCTCGGCCAGTGCCATGGCCGTGGCCAAGCCGATGCCCGAGTTGGCTCCGGTGATCAGTGCGCGCTTGGGCGAGTCCGTGGCCCGGGCACAGGAGCTCAACCAGGGAAGGAGGCCTTGGTGGACGGTGGATGAAACGGGTGGCTTGAAGAATCTTGAGGAAACATACGTTGAAAGATGTTGAAAGATGTTGAAAGTATCGAAATGGAGCACTCCAAGTATGACGTATGAGATAAAAAATGATTCTGGTTGTGAAATGTTCTGAATGCTTCGTATCCAAATTATCCAAAAAGAAACTGAAAGGTCGGAAGGCCAAATGTAGATCCACCAAGATTTTTCCGGAATACGCTTGGGATCTTCACATCATTTTGTTTTGAAAATGGTATAGAAGTTTTTCCTTCAATCCATTGCTATCCAAGTTGCCGGCACTCGTCGCCGCAAGCATCCGACGCCGCGGCCCAGCATCAGCCCAGGCCCAGGACAGATCTGATGGAAGGAGCAGCGCAGCACAAGGCAGCCAGAAAGCTATCCGCAGTGAACGGCCCATGGCGAAGGAATCCACAAATCTGAATGATGAAGATTGATGAAGATTGATGAAGATTGATGAAGATCATTTATTGAATAATGAGACCATATCATTATGAATCCACTTTTTGATGTGATCATATGGACCAAATTGATGTTTTCTGCGAGTTTGGCAACCCGAAAAGCAGAGTTTTCTGAAGTACAATGGGTCATTGGCATCCCAAGTCGAACAAAGACTGCCCGGATGGTTTCGCGTAAAGCCGATAAGAGCCAAACAATGCCAAAGCTAGTAGCAGCTAGCTGGCTTGCCCCGAGAGTTAAGTCATCCACCATGGTCCCCAGCGGCTCCAGCGGTGATAATTCCAGGTCAGCCGTCAAGTCAGGAGTGGTGCCGGTGAGGATCAACAACAGACCCACCTTCCTTGGAGCGTCAGCACCGAAATGGAGGGGTGGGCTCATTGGGTTTTTTTTCATGTCGAAACCAGTGGTTTTTTGGGTCCCAATCCTTGGCCACGTGTGATGAACCTAGCCCATCTTGGGGCCCTGGACGTAGCACTACCATGCCGATCCCATCCCATCCCAGTCCCCCTGCGGTCGGGTTGCAACTGGCCCAGCTGTTCTTCATGTGATCCTTTGTCCTTCCCAAACTTGTTTGATCTGGGGAAAACATGAGTAAAATGGATAGGGGCCACAATAGCCTCAATAGCCTCAATAGCGGCATAGCGGTGCCACCCAATGCCATCGTTGCCAAGTTTGAGGTTTATGAAATTGATTGAAATTGGGTACCCTCTGGTAATTTAACATAGCTATTGAAAATGGCCATTTATAGTTGATTTTCCCATTAAAAATGGTGGTTTTCCATAGTTATGTTAGTTTACCAGAGGGTATACCCCTAGTAAGGAGGATGCAAAACAAGCATCGCCTACATGGGATCCATCTCCTGCGATGTCAAGAGCAGCTCCCGTGCAATGGCCAACAAGACCAACCTGCGATCGACAGGAAGCCACCGGTTTTTGAATCTCATCCGATGATCCTAAGAATGACTCTGAAAAGTCACAGTTTCTATTGAATAAAATTGACTATACATGCTACTCCTTCAGTCTTAATCAAAAATGCTATGTCTGTCTTATGTCTGCTTAGACAGCTGAGGGTCCAGAACTTCCAACTTGCCAAGCGACTGTTCTCGTGCATAAAGGTCAGGCCTGGAAGTAAAGGCCGCTTTCAAGGATCAAGAAATGGCCTGAAATGGGGGTACCCTAGATCATTCATTTTAATGGGATTTTCTATTATCAACCATCCATTTTGGGGTATCCCCATTTCTGGAAACCCCCATAAATCACGATAGCCTGGACGAAAGAAACTCTGAAACGCTTCAACCAAGGAAAGAATTTGCAGGGCACTGGGTGGAGCGGGGCTTGGGGGGGGTTTCCAACCTAGCTACATTGAACAGATATTTCTGATTAAATAGCCTTGCAAACGTTCACTGAATCTTCTACCGGAACACATGTCAAGACCCCATGTAGGTGGTTCAACCACAACCTCTGCTATTGCAATGTAAGTTTGTTTTATGACAAGCAATGGCCAATACAGGACAGACCCATGCAAGTGAGCACTAGCAAATCCTTAGCCTTCGCTTGGGCATTTCTTGTCCTGGGGGGGCTACTTCAACAGCATGTACCTGTGGAAATCAACATGTATGAAACCGTATGTACAACCTGATCTCAGTGGCCACCTGTTTCTTTCGCAATGTTGCCTTCAGTTCCTGCGACGACAACCATGCCAGTAGCATGCGAAACGCCCTTTGCCATATTTCACAGTCGACCCCGCGCTGGGCACGCCGCGGAGAAGGCTAACACAGGCAACACCTAGAGCATTAGCGGCAGTTGCCTTCGTCAAGATGGCAACTCACCACGGGCGTTCGAATCCTTGCCTTCATGGGGAAAGCTCTCAACTTGGGGAAGCTTGCCGTCAAGGCACGCCCGAGCCACTGGGAGCAGCAAGCTGCAGCAATGCCCTCTCATTCAACCCTCATGCTCAGTCCTGTAGCTGTTTCAAGCACGGCTTGCAGAACACTACCAATTCCATTTTCATTTGCTAAGCCTGCTAAGCGGGAAATTAAAACAGGCCAGCCCTAGAAAGGCAGAGGCCACAGCAAAGAGCAAACAGGAGCAGCGGCTTGGGTGCCAAAGCTTTGCACAACGCTGGTTGAAAAAGAACATTGCTACGATGGACCTTGAACTTTGCATGTCTCAAACGGGAACAGAACAGGGACCAGAGTCTGTTTCTGCATTGCTTCCATATATGCCTGGCAGACGCGTAGATGCAAGAAGCAGAACCAGATGGAATGAAAGAAAAACCCGTGACCTCAAGCCTTTTAGGCTTGCATTAGTGCCGATGTAGTAGAAGTAGTATTCAAGATTGCTTCATGCCGCCATCCAGTCCTAAGGGGTTTTCAAGCAAGTCCTTGCCGCGGGCCCTTCAGCCGAGACTTGGGAAGCATCTAGGCCCTTTCCAGAAACGAGAAAAACGCTTTTTTTTGCTGTTTTTTTAACCGTTTTTGCGCGTAATTTTTCATCGGGGCTTTGGGTGGAATGGTTTCATCGGGGCTTTGGGTGGAAATGGTTCGTTCGGGGCTTTGGGAGGAAGATTTGAATCTTGTACGAGTAAGGAGCTTGAACGGGGCATTCGGAGGAAGGCCGCCGCTAGCCCTTTGAGCGGGGCAGTGGGTGGAGCCAAGCCATCGGGGCTGTGCGAGGTGATTTCGTACGTTTTCAAAAATGAAAATTTGCACTGAAAATTGGCGCGCAGTGGCCGGAATTCATTTCATCCCCGTCTTGGTGCAGGTGCGACTGTGAAGGAATATTGAAAAGCGTACATGCCTCTTACCAGATATACATACATACATTTTCAAAATGGCAGGGTAGGCGTCCGTCTACTGCCGACATAGCAGGAGGCCCCGTAGAAACCTATAGGGCGATGTGTAGGCGCGGAAGCGGAAAGCTAGCAACAGTCAGCAGCGTTGCTGTTCCTTAATTATCCTCCGTCTCATGGCCGAAATACATCTCTCCACGCTAAAGCTGATCTGCGCCTTGAATTTCGAGTATCCGGGTGTCATTGTTGAATCGAAACGCGCTCCTCGTCACCCTGGCGCCGTTAGAAGGGAATGAAGACTTTGACGCCCTGAGCTCAGCAGCAAACATACTGTATGTCGCCGCGGTTGCTGGTCTTTCTGCCAGCAAGAGAAGAAAGCTTCCACCCCACACTGCGAAAGGAGGAAGGCTTCAGCCGGCGCCGGGAGGAGAGCCGGCGCCGGGAGGGGAGACCCGGCGCCGGGAGCGAGACCCGGCGCCGGGAAAAAGAGAATCCTCACAACCCGGCGCCGGGAAGGAGGAATCCTTTCACCGGGAGAAGAAGAATCTTTCAAAAGAAGAAATCGTCACATGCTGATGGCAAGAAATAAAGCCTTTCTCCCAGCACCTAGAAAGATCAAACTTAAAAACCTTTTCAGGGCCTCACACATGGACAACCACATGATCAATGAACGTTGTATACATTTATATACTGCTGAGCTTGCCGCGCTGTCTTCTGTGTCCACTTCTGTCGGGAACAATGCCTAAAACTAGCTGGTTCATAGCCGACTCGAAGACACCCGCGGACGACGATGGCCTAATGACCCCCAAACATTGTGTCCACCAGCATTTACCTTGCACCGTCCGAGGCCTCTTCTCATTCTACACATTCCAAAAGAGTTGAAACTAAGCAAAAAAGTGAGCCTAAGGGAAGCAAGATTTGTTTTTCCCGCCCTAATTATAAATGGGCATCTGCCATGACCACGGGACAAGTACTTTCGCACATAACGGCTATTTCTTGTTTTGTATCAGTGCTCGGGTGGAAAAAGTGTGTTTCACCACCCATAGCCCTGCTACGCTGGAAGCCCTGCTGATTTGGTTCTCTGAAGAATCTCTTCGACATTGGCAAACAACGAACTTCTCAAGTTCTTCATCTCTTGAAAACGCAACAATACATCGTCCTCAATTTGGGTTTGCTAATATTTACTACGGGTTTTACTATGGGTTTTACCACCTCCATCACCGGATCACCGTTCCAGTGGGTCACCATTTACACTGAGGGGAAATGCTCGAGTTTGGCCGCAATGTCCAGGAAGAAGTTGGCTGAGCCTCAGTACGTGACATCTGGGAGTTTTCAGCAAAAGGTATAAAGTAATTCCATGAATATATTGTAATCCCTCAAAAAAAGACTGGAAAGCGAACAAACATCTAGTTGTTGACATTTCTTGCTGATGTTTGGTCCCTGTTTGCAAATTTCACCACCAAAGGATTGACAAATATGACAAATGTCATTTGGAAATTACATGGAGGGGGCAAAATTGATGTTTTCCCATGGGAGTGTGATGCTCAAGAAATTACCATCCTGTTTTGCCCAACATCGGTGTGGAAAACCCATGAAAACCCACCATTTTTAGACATCCAGGGGCACCGACCGCTGGGTGGACTGCACTGGCTCATGAAAGCGTCGAAACCTGAGCCAAGTCGAATTTTCCAGGAAGAATGGAGAAATTACAGAGATCATACCAGGTTTATGAGAATATATGAGAATAAGATGTTGAAATAATATGTTAAAAATAATATTTTGTGATTATAAATAATGGGTATACCTCATCCTTGATAAAGTTGACAATAATATATCAATGTCTTTTTAATGGATACGTATCTCTGTAATGTGCATTATCCTGAATTGTATGATCCCAATAAAACAAGAATCGCAGATAAGCTGGATGATATCCAGTCCAATCACTCATTGATGAATTATTCTTCTATGAATAACCAAAAGAATATTGCAGGAATACTATATTTAAACAATATATCATCATACCCCTTGAGCAACACAAACGGGTATTATATAAGTTTTCTTGACCATCAATATCCATCAATGTTGAATCATAGGTCTTTCCCTCAAGAAGTTTGCATCATCTGTGACATCGGCCAATGTCGGGCCGTAGAGGGCAATCGGCTAGCTCTATAGCATGTTGGCTTTGGGGTTATCACAAAGATGAGCGAAAAAAACACAGTACCAGATAGTACCTTCGGTGCCTAGCAATTGCTGCTAAGAAGAATGGATGGAGTTCCAGAGATTTTTTCGCTCTTGTGGCAACTGGAATCACTGGAATCCTCTCAGCTTCCAGCACTTGTGCCAAAGCTGCACCCTCTCTGAGAGTACGTTCCACCAGGCTCCCTGACAATCGGGAACTTCGTTCCCAAGTTACACTGATTTGCAGGTAGATATAATATCCCAAAAAAGGATCGAAAAAGTTGGAAACCCGGAAAGGAAATATCAAGTAAATATCATCTATAAATATATACATATTTATATATATATAAGTATATATATATATAAGTATTGCTGGAAACACTTTTTACCTTTTTGGGGTTGTTTTTTAAGAAAAAATTGACCTTGCTGCCCGTGCCTGCCGGAATTCCACAATCATTCCTCGGCTGTGTCAACCAACGTCTGTCTCTCTAGACATCTCAAAGCAGTGCCTGAACCATGGTACATTGATGGAAAATGGTATGAATGGTATTCAACTAGCAGTAATACTGGTATTAATGGTATAATTATGGTATTCATTATTTTTATAGGTCCCATTCACATTCAACTTCTAGAACTCCAAAACAAAATTGTGTGAAAATATGATGTCCTTGCTGATGTGACCTTTCTTGGTTCACACATCTAAATGATTCTTGGTGTCTTACAAGGCGCCAACTTGGGAAGGATTCTTTTTGCTGGGTCAAAATACCAAGGAAGGAAAGAGGAATCCATCTTAGGACTTAAACAGCGTTTCTCCCTCTACAGTGACGAACCCTGCAACCAGTTACCGCAAGCTGTCTTCACGGTGGTATAAGTGAGGTATTTGCACCAGTTGGTGGGAAAAAAATTCACCCAATTATAAAACGATTCAGTTCTTCCAAAAAATGTAGATGACGAAAATGTAGTGGAAAAATTATGATAATATAAACCATCAATCTGACCATACCCCATCTACCAAATGACCATGACTTGAGCAATGTTCTTCATCTTGATACTCGCCCTTTTTGAGAACGGGATTCCCCATGTTGTGATAATCCCGAAAAATCTCTGCTGGTTAGTGACTAATCCCCGAACTAACCAGCAACCAACCATCATTTCTCAGTTCATATCCATTTACATCCCCATATCAAATGACGCTCAAAAACCAATGCAATTACTGTACTACTAAAAATCATCAACCAGAGGGTTATGAAATACCATATCACATATTATTGGTGATATTCTTCCATCATATTCCCACACTATTTCCATGAATCCCATGAAATCATCATTTTTGTTCATCAAATCCCACTGAATTACCATTAAATCACCGGTTTTCATGGTAAAACCCATCAAAATGGTCCCTTTCTACTTCTATGAATCCATCACCATTGTCTCCCCATGGCCCAGGCCTGTGACTTCCTCGAAGACCACGGTATCTCCCGCAACACCTGGGATCGCTGGGATTCGGCCCGTGGCTCGTCTCTATATTTAAAAAAAAAATCATACATACTGCTTTATAATTATATATTTATACTTATAATCTTGATTATAAATGTAAAAAATATGTAATAACATATAATATACAATAATTTAATAAAAATAAAGTAACATATAAGATAATGTACTAAAATGTAATGTAATATAATAAAACATAATCTCATATACCAGAATTAAATATAATGAACTGTAATATGAAAAAATAATCTAATTAAATTTAAATGTAATTTTAATATATATAATAAAAAGTTAAATATAATATAATATAATAAATACAATAAAATACAATATAATATAAATATCTATACTATACAAAAAAATATGATATAATATAATATAATATGATGTAAAAAATATTAAAAAGAAAACATATATATATATAAATTAAAATTATCATTATAACGATAGTAAATAAAGTATGTTATAATAAAATATAATATGATTTAATATATTATAATATAATATAATGAAAAATAATATATATGACATATATATATAACATATATATATATATAACATATATACATATTAAAATTATAAGTCTCAATAAAATTATAATGAAATATATAATATTTTACCATATAAAACAATAAAATATAATAATATATATATATTATTAATATATGTATACAGATTTTGAAAATATCGAATATATATATATGATATATAAATTCAATTGCAGTTTTAAATTATAGGATATTATAGGGATATATATATATATACATGATGTATATATATATATAAATGAAATATCTATAAATACGATATATATATATATATATAAGTTTGATATTACATATATATATATTTGATATATAAGAGTATATTTATATGTGATATATATATAATCGAATATATTTATAATATAATGTATGTTTAAATATATGATATTTAAAAAATGTTAGAATATATGGGCAAAAATAAATACGAATGCATACTAATGCTACTGTGTAACGGTTCTGTTGCAATATCGTGGAACCCAGAAAACCTGTATACTTCAACGGTGGGCTCTTCTTTGGTTCAAGGTCATAAGAATCACGTGGTGGTGTAGCTCCTGTTTTGTTAAATTTGTGGTCCAATTGGGACCTGTGGCCACAACCATCTGGCCAATTTTTTTATTCGGAAAATTACGAACATAGATTCACGGCCAAATTGGCGGGAAGTCCTTATCAGCCCATCCCCAAGTCCTGTCCGCTCAAATTTTTGGCATCCATGCCATTCAGGCCATTCTTGGCCCAGGCCCGTGCTTCGGCAAACATTTTTTTGGAAATCAAGAGCTGCCTCAGTTTTCAGCATCCGCTAGGTATTGGACAAGCCAACGTTTGCATGGCCTTTAGGCCTAATGGAAACCCTTAGTGTGCTGAGAAAACTCCAAAGAACCTCCGGGATGTTTGTCTTTACTTGGTATATCCGGCACCCCGGGTACACTGCCCTTGCCCCGGGGCAGCCGGCAGCAGTTCGGCACTGGGAACGCGGAAGTCGACGTCGAGTCCAGTCCTCAGTCGGTGCAACCTGTGATGCCCTGAGTTGATGTTTTTTGGCGAAGTCAGGCAAGATTGATTTGAACTAAGATTTGGAGATTCCCTATTTTTTTGGAGGGTCCAAATGATGGTAATCTAGACCCTGCCCGTTGAATAACTCCAGTCTCTGGGCACTTCTGGGCACCCAGGCTGCTGAATGAGCCTGGCGGTCATGCTCAACAGGCAAGGCAGTGTCCATGACTTTTTAATGGTTGGTGGTGGAGCCACCATCCCAAATACCCTCCCATATATAGTTGATACTTTTCGACATATTTGTAAATATATTTATATATATATATATGTCTAGACCACCTACCAGACTTTGTTGTATGTATATTCTTAACACACAGCAACCATTTTTGGAATGAATCTGGAAAATGGTAATCCACGAACCTCAAAAAGTTGGGCCGGTTGGGGGCGGTTGGGGGTGATTCCCCTGATGAACCATCACTAATGGTGCACCTTCACCCAACCTTTTTCCCCCATCCCACAGCACCCACAGCATTGCCTAAATGCGCTGAAGAGCTGCGAGAAACGTGGCGAAAAGCCTGCTTCGTCCAGCCTAAAATTCATCGAGGGTGATTTTTTGGGGGGCAAATGGGGCACCCTACGAGGTCATAAATCGTGGCTAGCTGGGAAAACCCAGCTTAAAAAAAACTAAATGGAGGTTTTAATATGGTTCAATGGGAAAATCGCCTAACTAAGTTTGGGAGTTTCCAGCTAATCATGGAGCTGATTAAATGGGCCAGTGCATGATGGGGCTGTAGGAAGAAGAATGGCCTTAAAACCCACCTGATTGTATAGAATCTGCATACAATGCTTAGGGTTCCACAATCCCCAACAATTCTTAAGTGGTTTTCACTTCACACCATCAAAATGTCCGGGACAGGGGATCACACAGGTCACCGTAAGGTAGAATATTTCTTGATCATGGATTGAAATAGGGGCAAGCACAGCATCCTGGTTGAGATTTCCACCCTCTTTGTACCAAGATTGTAATGTCAAGCCAGGTAATATTGATGCCTGGCCATTGATCATTGGGCCGAGAAAAGCATCACTCTGGAGGGAGAACAAATGGGGTCATGTCATTTGGCATCCCCACGCAGACAGCAGCATCATACGTGCACGTGGGAAACCATCCAAGAGATACCTGCGCATGAGAGGAGAGTGCAGCTTTGGAACCTGCCATCAATCTCTTTCATTTGGAAGTTTCCCAGAATGGGTGGTACCCTGACATCATCCAATTTGAATAGGATTTTCCGCTGTAAACCATCTATTTTTGGGTACCCCCATTTATGGAAACCTCCATTTGTCCATGGGAGGAAACACCTCAGACTCAAATCCGCGAGAGGATCGCTGGGAGCTCGCGCCAAACCATCTCTTCGCTGAGTCGCTCCACGTGGGGCCTCGGTGGATGGTTCTACTGGGAGGTAACACCCTGAAAGGTCCGAAAGGAAACCACCATTCAGTCTCTCAACACTCAACACTGATAACCTCTTTTTGGTAGCATGTATCATAGACCATTTGGAGGTGCAGACCAAATTGCCGCTAGGAAACGTCGAGTTCAGAATCTTGGATTTTGATATTCAATGAGTTGTCTGAAAGTCAAAATGAGTATATTTTGGGGTAAGCAGTGTTATCATCATGTTTGCGGTTAAACAACTTATTTGAATCCTTTTGGGTTCACCCTGAGACCGTCCGTTAGAGCTGCACCTGAGCCTCTTTGAGATTATTACACTCCGGGGCGCTGAAAATAGGTAAATGGGGAAAATCCATGGACTTCGAAAGAATTTGAAATAATTCATGTTGCTCCAAGAATAAGAATGAAAAAAATGAAATAATTTGAGGTGGTTTGAGAGACCTCCCCCCCACACAATGAAACTATTTTGATTGGAACTCGGTTGGGTCAAAGTCTCCAAAATGCCTTCAGCATCGGTTGGTGAAACAGCTGTGCCGTCAATGCCTTCACTCCCCACCTGAGAAAATGGTTTTTAACCTGTTTCAAGCATTGACCATCTGGGTCGATTCGGTGAAAGCTGAAACACTGAAATCATCAGCTAGTGGTTTCATCAAACCATTGATAAAGTTTGCCAGCGACGCAGTGATGCTCAATAGTCAACTGGGGCTCTAAAATCAAGCCTCTGATTCCAGAACCTGGGCCACAACCTCTCTGGATGCAGGTGCCCAAGCAACATAATCACTCCTGATGCTCATGTGCCGGTTATACGTATGTCTCGTGAAATCCAACCTAAGGGCTGGCCAGCACGAAAGTAAGGAAGGCCAGCAAAATATGTTTCCAGACCCCAATCATGCACTATGAAATTGGATGGGTTTGTACAAGCAGCATGCCAGTATTTCAAGACCTGTGAGCTCCATTGAAGCCACAATGGAATTAAACTGAATTAAATCGACTGCAATATTGAGGTGGGGTGAGTCGATGTGGACTGAAGTTGAACTGAGCGAAACCGATGGAAATTGAGGTTTGGTGAGCTGATGTGGACTGAAGCTGAGCTGAGTCGGTAAATCGAGGGAAATTGAGGTGGGGTGAGCTGATGTGGGCTGAAGATGAACTGAGTGAAACCGAGGGAAACTGAGGTGGGGTGAGCTGATGTGGACTGAAATTGAACTGAGTGAAACCGAGGGAAATTGAGGTTTGGTGAGTTGACTGATGCGGACTGAAGTTGAACTGAGTGAAATCGAGGGAACAACGGGGGAGAACATCAGGATTTCGGCGGAGCTTTTCCTACATAGACAAAAACTCGGTCGAAAAACATGTTCAAAATTCAGTGGTTTGTGGATGTGGTTTAAAATGACAAATAAGATGTGAGAAAAACGCCAGATAGCATGTCAGGATATTTCTGAAATTAAATGTCAGATATAAACGAATAATATATATATATATGAATCAAAATAAATGCAAATTTTTCAAAACAAAACAGATCAAGAAGAACAACTGATACTCTACAAAGAATGTTCTAACTAAATCTACAATTTTATCTTTTACTCATTTGATGGGATTTTTTCTGGCATTGTTTGATGGAGATGGGATTCCCAGCCACAGCCAGCAGGTTCATTGATTGCCCGGCTGCGCAGGGACTACAGAAGCAGAGGTGAGCAGAGCTGTGCTAACCTTTCGTGGCAACTAAATATCCATCCTAGATTCTATTGCCATGTTAGATTCGGGAGAGGATTTGGGATGTTCCTCCCTCATTTCAGGCCGACGGTCTTGGGTTACTTCAGCCGTCGATGCAAACTTGCATATTGACCGTGCATCATTTCAAACCATCAGTAGCTATTACAGTAGCTAATCACTACTAACCATAAATAACCATCAATCATTATAGCAATCCCCCAACAAGATAGAAAAGCAAAGTCCCAATAAAATGATGCACATTTGCTTTTCTATCTACTTGGGGATGGCTATATTACTGTTTTTTTCGATGATTAACCATAATTGCAGCCAAGGAATAGCGACTAGATAACCATTCATGATTAACCATTTGTCATTTCAAAACATTAATAGCCACTGACCGACAGTCCATTTCAAACCAGTAATAACAATTAAGTGATAGTTGCCAACCATCAATGGCGACGGATCATTCTTGGTATCATGGAGGAGGCTACATATCTCTGGACTGTAATGTAGATCCATTGTCAAAGGGACGCAGCACTTGAACTTGAACTCCACCATTCAACAAATGTAGAAAGTACCTTCTCCAACAATTGAATTCCAATAATCCCGAGATGGCCATCAATATACGCACCACAGTCCAAGAGAGTCATCCCCAAGAGGTGGGGAAAGGGAGATTCCATTGAAAATTACCGAAAAAACTCTGTTGCATCTGGGTGGGATGCTAGACATTTGTGAGTCAAGCATTGCCATTCATAATCACTATGACTCAATCACATACCCCAAACTCATCTGTGGTTCAGCCATGGACCCCTAAGCGCTATACTAAATATAATAATCATACCCCAAGCAGTATGGAAGAATAGAACGTCACTAAAATTCACTAAACATGTCCATGCATGAACGGGTAAGCCTCACCGCCGACCACAACTATCAATTCATCGTTGATTAGTCATCGATCAACAAGGAGTAAAGCAGCGACAACAACAACAGCAGCAGCAGCAACAACAACAACAACAACAACAACAACAACAACAACAACAACAACAACAACAACAACAACAACAACAACAACAACAACAACAACAACAACAACCAACAACAACAACAACAACAACAACAACAACAACAACAACAACAACAACAACAACAACAACAACAACAACAACAACAACAACAACAACAACAACAACAACAAAACAACAACAACAACAACAACAACAACAACAACAACAACAACAACAACAACAACAACAACAACAACAACAACAACAACAACAACAACAACAAACAACAAACAACAAACAACAAACAACAAACAACAAACAACAAACAACCAACAACCAACAACAACAACAACAACAACAACAACAACAACAACAACAACAACACCAGCAGCAGCAGCAGCAGCAGCAGCCACAACAGCAGCAGCCACAACAGCTTCATGCGGGCGCTCCTCCTCAGTTCTTGGAGTCTCCTCCATTTTTTCTAATTTGTTTTCTCATTTTTTTGCATCTCATCTCCTTTATCCTCATCTTTTTGTTGGGCCTGTCTTTGCTCATACAGCACTTGCTGCCAGTTGCTCGGTGAGTCGTTGAACTCTTGGGGGGGTCCGGCCCCCTCTGGGGGTCCGGCCCCCTCTAGGGGGCCGGAGCCCTCCTGGTTCTGGCATTGGCGGCCGGGATCCAAAGCTGGTATCGGTTTGGGGATGATTTCCATCAATATAGTCTCGTTTGATGGCTGCCCGGGGTACAGGGTTTTGAACCATACCCCACGGGAGTTGTCAACTGTTCACTTGTCTTGGCTGGCATGTGCATGCATTGAACTTGAGCCACAGTGCAAAAAGCAGTCAATTCCGGCTGAACCGCTGCTGAAGAATGGGTTATGATATGGCTGTTTTGTAACGGTGAACGTTCAATGTAGTGGTATTCATAGACAGAAAATGACAGAAACATGCTACTGCAATTGAGACAGTTTGTTTTTTTTGAAACATGTTGATGTTTTCTTCGTTTTGGTTGTTGGCTATTTGGCAAT